TAGGGAAAAAATCTATTCTGGCAGCTGTGGGGGAGGTTAGTAGATGGATTGATTTTATTTCTCTGGTAAGTGAGGGGCAGCCCCAAAGAACTGCCTGGAAAGCCCGCACGAGGGAAGGCTTTGTTAGCATCATGGAGGGATTCGCGGTGTTAGAGGACATCAGAGCGACAGGCGTGCGGGGCAGCGCTGCAACAAAGACCATCTCATCCTTCCCAGAGGGCCCCATCCAGTTTGTCCCCTCCATGGGATGAGCGGTCAGCTGGGACCTTGCAAGCTCCTGCCAGGCAGGGTGGGCAGCGAGAGCCGCCCTGCGCAGGACGACGTATGGAGTGATCATTTCCATTACAGGACAGAGGTTCCCTTGTACTGCCCTAGAAGTCACTATTAATGGTGACAAATAAGCAGTCAGGATTCGGACACACTGGGACTGAGATTGCACAGACAACCTTAAAGTGCCCTGATTATCCACCTGCCTTGTGATACAACCTTGGATTTCACGGACTGAGCTGAGCCCTGACTTGCCTCGTGCTGAGTCTCCTCACTCACAGCCAAATGCACAGAGAGCGAGAGGTAGAGCCAAGGATGCCAAAACACATACTCGGAAGGTCTGTGCTTCCCTGGTGCGGATTTAATGGCACCTTTCGGCCCAGCCCTTGGAAGCCCATACGGCAGGACCAGGCTGGCCCAGGCACTCACCTTGGTGCACATCTGTCTCCACATCTGCAGGGGCTGGACATGGTTTTTCTCTCCAGCAGGAAAAGCTCTCATGACCAGGAGGTGCCTCTGCCATCTTGGCTGGAAGGACGCAGGCCCATAGGGACGAGGTGAACCCCGGCCTTTTCTAGCAAATGTTTTGTCAGGACAAGGGACAACTGGTACAAGGGAACTACGAGCCATCAAGATGAGGACCTATGATCTAAGTGGTTATGAAAAGTACAGGGAAAGTTTGCATCGTGGTTCGTCTTGGTTCTTTCCTGTGTATTTTATTATACAAGCTGGCAGAGAACTTGTTCAGAAGCAAAAAAACACTATCTGGGAAATGTTCTTCCCCCTCTTTCAGTTTTTTTGGTGTGGGATGACAGAAATGTCAGTTAGATGAATCCTGACTCCTCCGAAAAGGTGTGCAGATGGTAACAGAAACTCCAGGACTCAACAGGGTCCTCCCCGTCCGCAGCCACTGAATACTTGCACAAGACAACAGCAATGGCACAAAAGCCCCCACTCTCTCTGCATCTAATGCACTGTGACTTTGGTGAAGTAGACACTTATTTCCTTGCCTAAATCCCTGATCAGCTTTCTCTGATCTCTTTTCCATGGTAGAAGGTCCATAAGAGTGAGAGGGATGGGTTGTACATCTTGTTTTAAAGCAACCATTGCCTTTTATATTTCATGCTATGCATATTAAAATATATGATATTTGATATTCAAAAGCTGATTCGAATGCCTTACCACAAGGATTTCGCAAAGTGCTCTGGCAGATTTTCTCGGTTTCCTTTTCTCTCTTCTTCACCGCTCTTTTTCACTTTCATGTGCATGTGCTCTCTACTGCCAAGCTCTCAGTCAGTCAGCTGGTTGGTTGGGTTGGCTTTTTTGATGGAGAAGAATCAGACCAAGAAAAGGCATCTTTAAATTAAATACTTTGAGATTTACACTTAGTGATATTCAGGGGCTACTCAGGGTTTCAGTGGCCAGGAGGTATTTGAACCATGTTTGCTAGTGTACTATCTCTTGTAATCAGGCATTGTTTTATTTGACGTAATGAAAGCACATTCTCTGCTACCCCTAATAAAATGGCATTTATCTGTATCCAGAGGCTGTAGAGCACATACTGTTGCAATTAAGTTTGCAGTAAACTGTTCGCTAAATCAGCAAACTGCCAAGAAGGGGCTTCCAAGCTAGAGAATTTACACAAGTCTTACCCTCTGTTTATTTACTCTTGAACATAAGCCCACCTTGGCTTTCAAAAGCCAGGGAGCAGGTGGAGAAAGAGGTCTGCCGGGCACTGTCCCACCTCCACCAGGCTGATGGTGCTGGTGGGGCAGCGCACACTCAACCTGTGCACGAGGCTCAAGGGCTGGAGGGGGGACTTGTGTGCCTCTGCTTGGGGCCCCAGGGTTGTGAGCCGTTAAGGAGCCAACATGCAAGTGAAACGGAAGTTATTAGGTGTGCTGTCCCCAAAATAGTATCGATATAGATATGTGCATATATGAGTGCATATATATATTTTTATGCATATATATTATTTACATGCACATATATATTTATATATATACACACATGTAAATATATATACAAGTATGTATGTACATCTTTATATAAATGTATACGCTTTTATATTTGTCAATATACTATGTACAAACACACGTATGTATAGATGCATTTATTATCTATGCATATATGTATACGATCAAAAGCAAGCCCAGAAGCCTAGCATAGGGGCTACCCAAGGTTTCACAGTGCCAGCCTCCTTCACCATAGAGAAGTGAGTCATTGACATGTTGCTACAGAAAATAACAAATCATGCTGCTTCTCACCTTCGCACACGGGATAAACCCCAAATTGGATGGGGACCTTGATTTTTGAAACACCATTTTCTTCCCATTTATTTTAATGTCTTGGAAAACAAACCAACAGCACTTTGCTGCCGGTCTTTCCCGATCCCCATCTGAAGGCAAGACAACCCTACGAAAACAGGACAACATAGGCAGGTGAGGAGTGGCACTAGCCATGGGTCAGCTCAGGGTCCCTAGTACCCAATGACTGCCATATAGCAGGAGGTCAAATCCATAGTTTGTCTTAGATTCACTTATTGAACATTTTCTACTTTGTTCAGGTTAAATCCAAAGGGCTTTAGCCCAACCCAGGGGAGGGTAGGTGGTGGTACCATGTGAAGGTGGTTCTTGGTCCTTCTGAGACGGATGGGATCCAGCCTCTGCCCCAGGCATCCAACAGGTGATGGTGCAGGGAATGGTGCCTGGATGAGGACCCCGTTTTTACTTCCATCTGGGCTTACCGTGCCCATCTTTCCACAGAGGCTGCTCTGAGGGAAACTCTGGGTTGTGTAAAGAAGCAAGTTCAGGAAGGGCTTGGTGGAGGACTAGTGGGCAAAAATTACACCTATCTCAATAAAGATGGCCTTTTTGTTTGTTTTGCTGGGTACCATCCCAGCACAGGCCATTGTGCTACTGAAATTCGCTCTTACTGAAGCCCTTGCTGGGATAAGCCAGTAACTGGGGAATGTTCCAAACTCCCAAAGATGTACTGATTAAAAACTCACTTGGATGGCACTAAGTCCAACAGCCTTCCCTCTCCCTTCCCCAGCTTTCTGTTTTTACTGTCACACTGAAACAGTGATCATTGTTTTAGATGGTTGTAATCATAACCGCAGGCAACATGAAACTTTACCCAAAATGACTTCTACTCTCCATGAGGATTTGCTCAAGGTTTGGTTTGTAGGTAGTGGTCTGGCTTCATTTCTACCTAAAATATACTTTGTACATTATTTCCAGTTTGGGCATAAGGTCTGAGAGGAGCAATACTCTGCAAATTTAACAGGACTAAAAATTAATTTTCATTCTTACACTTGTCATTTATAGCACTTTTACCTCTGGCCACTGAAAGACAACAACAAAAATCACCTGCCAGAAGAACAGCTCGGTGTAGTATGCATAAATATATAAACCAGCCAGCTGTGTGCTTGGGCCTCTGCTTTGGCCCCACTTCCCTCCGTAGTGAAACGAAAAGCAAGAGTGGTCCCTTCAGGTCACATCCATCACATCAGCCCTTTATAATTATGAGGACTTGATCACCATTTGACTGGTGAGACATTGCCAGATACTGGCAGCATAAAGACGTAGTGATATTGCACCGTAAATTCCCATCATGTTTCACTGCTCCAAGCTGAGCTGCAGGTCACAAAGATTACTGGGTGCAACAGTGCAGCAGTTTGTATTTACTACCTGGTTATAACACACTACGGACCACGGTCTGAGCTTATTTACATGGGTATCAGCCCAAAGCAGCCTCTTGGTGCCACTGGATTTACACAAGATTTACATCCCTGTAACCAAGAGTAGAATTTGGCCCTAAATTATGATGTAGTTAAAGAACCCATGTTTCTGAGTTGTGGAGAATTGTTTACACCCACATGAAATGGGTTGTAAAATGCCATTGCGCCAATTTGTTAGAGTGTTAGACCCTATTTGCTCAGGTGTAAATAACTACCCAGTGGGTGGCATAACATTTGCATCCTGTAACTTAAAGCGTTGCTCTCTACTGCAAATCAGTCAGGCTTCAGGCTCCAGTATCCTCCTGGGAGCAGAATGGATGCTCCTGGCTTGGAGAAAGTGATGCAATAGCAGATTTCTAACGAGCGGGAGGTCATGGGGCGTGACAGACATGGAATAAAATTGGAATATCTTATATATACCCAACCGGTTATTTTTTGCAGCTGAAGTCTCGTGTCCTGATGACTCCCTTAGCAATCTCTCCACCGAGGAGCACACCGGAGCCGGATATTAGTTCAATCCCGCAGGATGCAGCTACGATACCCAACTCAGCCACCCCACAGGCTCTCACAGGTACCCAGCCTCAAGCGCTCCTTGGCGAAGGGGTGAGCAGGAACCATGGGCTGAGAGCCAGATGCTGTCCTTTCCAGAACAGGCAGAGCTCGTGAAAACAGGGTGTTGGCAGATTAGACTGGCGACCAGTGGCAAAGAACAGGGATGCCCTGCAATACTATATTTTGACTGTCATGTGTCAAGTTTAGTGGAGATGTCAGATCCGTTCCTCTTGTAATGCGGACATCAACATCCCATGAACACTACCATTTTATACCCGACACTCACGCCATCAAATGTGTTGCAATGACCTGACTAAACCCCGGTGTGAACATGAAGCATCTGCTAGAGCTGTGGGGAGAAGAAGGACGCAGGAGCCATGATCTGACCGCAGGCAGGGTTACCAGCACATAAACCCCAATGCCTTATCACAGCAGCAGACCTGGTCATTTCTGACTGTAGTCAGGGAAACAGCCTTATTCTTTTGTTGCTTATGTTACAAGAAGTAATACAGGTCAATGCTTTTAAACTGATGTAAATGAGAAGAAAATCAACAAGACAGTTGATATACCCTGAGATTTCAGCAGAGAAATGGATTAGATAAAATTAGAATCTAAACACAACACATAAATCCCATTATTTCTTAGCTGGGATGCACAGAAGAGAAGTTTTCCATCTGCTCTGGTAGCAGAACAATACTAAACATAGCGACAATGATGACAGTAATATATTTTATTCTCATTTATCCCTTCACACGCAAAGACTGCAAAGCGCTTGGCAAGCATCAGCTGAGCAGTGCTTCATAGCGCTGCCCTCAGAGGTGTGCCTGGTGCCGCTTTCGGAGGGGGACAGGGAGGCACAGTCCCCCAACCCCATCAGATCACTGGGGTGGCCACAGAGGTAGTGACTCTGTGGGTCATTTTGGGCTCTGCGGATGCAGCACCCCACACCTCTGTCTGCCCGGCCCCGTGCCGCTGGTACCTCTTCCCCCAGCACCTCCCCAGCGGTGCGAGTAGGCTCCCACCAGAGCAGGGTTTGCAGGAGGTGGAGGCAGGCTCAAAGCCAACCTCCCTATCTGCACTGAAAGGACCATAGGGGCCCCCGCTCCCCAGCGAGGGACCCAACACACTGCCTGCAAGCTGCACAGTCCCTCCCGCAGCCGAGCCCTGGACAAAACCGGTGGCTTGCCACAGCAGAAGCCACATCCTGCAGATTTGATGAGGTTTGGCACGGTGGCACACCAGGAAAGCTGCACCCCGACAGTCCCCTGAAATTCCTGCATGCTGCTGTTGTCTTTCGGTGCGTTATCCCTTTGTTTGTTTGGCACTTGGAAGGTGTAAAGTGCTATGTAATGGTAAGTATGATTGCTATTATCCTCCTATTTACCCAGGATATACTGCTTGAGCCCCTTCTGCTGTTCGGTGAGGGATGGGGTACCAGAGTACGCTGTGACAGTGGCACTAGATTTTCATTACAGTGATACAAACTGTAAATTATTTCCAACTTTACACAGCTGTCATCATGTCCTCGACTCCGCTTAATGTTTTTTTGTCACATATCTGATTTCTGTCAGAGGATAATGTTATATTGTCTGAGAGATGACAGCTCAAACACACTCAGCTAGCTATTATAATACGTCTCACTTTAGCCTGACTTTAGGCTGTGTCTTAGTTGCCCTTAGTTACCACAGCATTATCTCTGCTTCCTCCAAGATGCCGTTAGCCTCAGCCAAGCTTAAAATAAGTTCATGCTAGTGAGAGGAGAACACTGATTTTTTGCCTATTGCCAGCAAGCCTGATGGCATGTAGAAAAACTGCTTTTGCAGGCAACAGCATATGAGAGCAGGCGTGCAGGGCTTGGCTGCAGAGAGGCTGGGACATCCCTCGCAGACTCCCTGTGTGGCACAGTTGTGTGGCTGTGGTCCCAAATGGGGATTTAGCACCGCACGTGAGGTACGGTTTCCCTCGAGGCAACGCAGTTTGCAGAGTGCTGGGTTGGATGTGGAGGGTCAGGAAGCTCTCAAAGACCAAAGTGTCTGCTGTCGCACCGTGCAGCTCAGCACAGCATAACCCTCCAGAAATTACAGCTGCAGTCAAAGAATGTATAGAGAAAAAAAAAAGGAACCCCAAACACACCTCAGGCTGGAGTTTATCCATTGCAGTAAGGTCAATCCTGATAGTGACTGACCTGCACTCCCTGGGCGTTTGTTCTGGTCACCAGCTGCATGGACAAGGTAGCATGTGGACCCCAGGCACAGACAGGAGATTCTTTGGTTGCGCGTAACTTATCCTCACCTGTTTCACTGAGCAAAGCCTAAACTCAGCTCACTTCACTTAGGCGATGGCTGACCAGTGCAAGGAAGCCTGGCCGTGCCATCGCAAATGGCAGCAATTCACTGATGAATGGAAAACCTTGTGAGATAAACGGGACTGTGTAAAACTAGCATTTGCTAGGATGCTCTCAGGGCCATTTTGTAATAACGGTGTTGGGATTTTGTGTCTACAGTCTGCATTTATGTCAACAAACAAGCGAACCTGGGGCCATACCTTGACAGAAGGAAAGTGCAGCAGCTCCCAGAGCACTTCGGACCGGAGAGACCGTCCACAGCCCTGCAGCAAGCTGTTCAGGCCTGCATCGACTGCGCGCTCCAGCAAAAGGTCGTCTTCTCGCTCATCAAGCAGGGCTACGGAGGCGAGATGGTGTCAGGTAAGGCATTTCTGTAAGGAGTTTGTGGCCAGTTGGGAAATGCCTGAAATCTGTCCACATCAGCGGGCTAGCAACCAGCTTTGAACATCACTTACACCTTTGTAAAATGAGCTGTTGCAGGAATTGTCTTGGTGTCAGATGAAAGTATATTGTTAAAGAGTATTGCAGCGGTGATTCAGGGGAGGAATCCTGCGCTTACCGCTCTTTGAAATAGTGCTGAGGCCAGGTCTGTGAGCTGGGTTTGTCACGCAGCCGTAGAAGGATGAGCAACATTGTGAGCCCATTTCATCCCACATGTTGCCTCCACATGTTGCTCTAAATGAAAACTTGCGCAGAATTCAGCTGCTGGTGTGTCCTCTGCCTGCAGTTCATCAGCCAAATCTGCTCTCAGCTGTAGGAACTGCAAAAGTCCCGTGGCAGTTCCCCAAACAGCAGGACTATACATCGGAGAGAATCAGAGATCAGAGAGAACTTCCCAGGAGCTCCTCATCTTCCTGCAGTGATGCTTCTCACTGTGTCCTGATGAGTCTCCCATGTCCCATGCTGAATCCCCTGGCCTGGCTCTCAGACTGAACATGAACTTTTCTTTTAATAACAGCAAGACTTTTGTGTCACAACATTATTTTAGCACATAGGGATGCAGTGGGAATGAAACAATGAAGGGCATATGGGAACGAAGCTTTCCAATGAACTGCCGCAGATGAGTCAGGCACGAACACGGAGCCAAGGACCACAAGTCCAGTCAGTTTTGCAGGGATCACAGCAGCTCAGTTGTCCCATTGGGACCCTCCCGCGTGGGAGCCCCGACCCTGGCCCTCTGTGCAGCATATCAGTCCTGCTTCCTCCCTCTCCTCTAGTTCTTTCTAGTCACAGGTGTGCCTTCCCTAAGGGACATCAGAAATACCCTAAGAATGATCCAGATCTGTTCACAGAAACACAAGACTGAAGCAATGTAGTGCAAAGCTGCTTTTCTACCTGGTTCTGTGCTGCGTACATGATTTTCATGACAAGCAGGAGAGTCACTTTGTGTACCAAGCCTGCCAAACCCCTTGGTCTCAGTTCCTCTGAGCTGGCTTGGTTTCCAATACCTGAGCTAAAAGCATCTGGTCAACATTCCTCCCAACTTCATGCCTCTTCTAATCATCAAGGAGGGATGAACGACCTCCTAGTCATGGTGTGGCTGTGAGATTGCAGCTCACTTCCAGCCCAGCAGCAGCACAGACAAAATTTTGTCATGGGTCCTGGTGGGTCTGTTGTGACCCCTCCACATCTCTCATGGCTGACACCTATGCCCTTTTTGATTCCTGACTAAATATATCCCCTGACAGCTTTGTCCAGAAATTTTAGTTACTCTGCTCTCACCCTTGAGTGCAATCCTAGATGTATTTCTAGAGAGCAGTCCTCATCCTGCTAGGGTGAAATACACAGTTTCTTTCAGGTCCTCTCTGCATTGTGAGGAAGATTGCTGGATTGGTGAAAGAAGTGCAAGTGTCTTCCCACAGCCCCCATGTAGCAGAGATGGTGATGGCTGCAGTGCCACAGGGAAGCTCTCTCTTCCCTGAACATCACTGCATCCTGCCTGTGCACCTCTGCACTTGCGAATTCACCCTTCTCGAGCCTGGATGACCAGAATGGTGCCCATCAGTCCAGCTCCGGTTTCACCAGGACTTTATGTAGTGGAATGGATGCTCCTTTGTCTCTCCTGGAAATGCTTTGTTTAATACCTCCTTAAAATATGTCTGCCTCTTTCATCACTAGGTCACCTTGGTGACTCATGGGCATCTGGTGAGCCTGTCCCATCATTTCTCCTCCCATCAGGTCATGTTGAACCTCCTCAAAGAATTACAGATTGCCATGTACTTTCTAGTATTTTTTTCCCCACAATTTTACTGTTGCAGTGCTCAAGATCAGTCAATCCTTTCTGTGCAAACTTCCCAGTCTTCTTCTCCATTGATAATGCCTGCCAGCTTACAGCATCAACAAAATCTTTTTGTGCCAGCATGGACCACTGCTGGTTCCTCTCCAGTGCTATGGATCTCCTGCCAGCAGAGCCTGTTTTCATCTCCTGACCCACCTTTCATATGCAGTTATTGCCAGTTTAACAAAAGATTTCTCGTACTTTACTGAATTCCAGATAGACCACAACTGCCAACCTTCCCTTGCCTATAAATGCAATTAAATCAGTAAATAAAGCTCCCTGATGAAGCTGGTAGCCCTCTCTTCAGTACAGCCCTGGTACCTTTTACTCATTCACAGCCATGTCTCTAATTCTTGTCTCCCCATTTTCTTTTAAAACCTTGAGTATTGCTAAAGTCAGGCTAATAACCACCATTGGCACATCACTTTCTTTCCGCTTCCTTAGACCAGGGTATCATAATTGCCTCCTTCCAGTCATACAACTGTTTTCCATTGGATGCATATATTAGAAATCCTTGCACTGCTGGCCCTGCTGGTTGGCACCTTTCAGTGCTCCAAGGGGAAGGTGATTTGGGTCACACAAACTCAGGTCCTTAAGCTCCTCCAGTTTGTTTTGTACTTCACGTGGGGTAATTATGTGAAATATTTTAAGACATACAAATACTTGTGTGAAATTTTTTCCTCTGCTTTCATTCTTCCTCCTGCCATGCATCTCCAGGTATTGAATTGCTCCTGCTTGCTTTCCAGTTTCAGCTACCTTTGAGGGAAAGCAGCATCTCCTGAGCCTGCTGGTAGTGAACAGCATCGGGTATGTCCTGCGCTTCCTGAAGAAGCTCTGTCGCAGCCTCTTGTGTGACAATCTCTTCAGCAACCAGCCTTTCCAGCAGTACAACGCCGTGTCGGAAAGCCCAGAGGTGTACGAAAACAGACGGCTGGAGGCAGGTAGGCTGCTTGATCAGCTTTGACGCTCAAGATTTAATAGGGCTGAAGAAATGACTGTCTTTTTTTGGTCCTGTACTGTATATGCTCGAAAACTGCAGGTCTCTGTGGGACCTTTCCAGAGGGATGCCATGGCCTGATTTGCAGTATTTTTCCCAGTGGCTATAGAGGAGGCTTTTGGATAAGAACCACTGTTTTGAGGAGCCCCAGCAATGATAGGGATAATTTTTTTATTATTTTATATCTCTTTCTTTCTTTTACCTCTTTCCTCCTCAAGCATACCCAGCCCTGGGGCAGAAACCTCAAAGGGATTAAGTTCCTTGAGCTCAGGCAGGTGGGAAGGCTGCTTGTTTTAAGGGTCACCTGCCAAGCAGCGAGGTCTGCCTTCACTCGAGGGGACCCCTTACTGGGCAAGGGGAGAGACCCACTCACAGCAACACAGTGTTGGGTCAGTGTTGTTAGCATAAATTTAAAGTAATGGTATTAGCGGTTGCGTACTCAGCCTGGATCCCGATCTGTGTAAACTGAAATGAGAGTTGTGAGAGCTAAGGGGTTTGCTTTGTTACTTGCGGGAGCATTTCTCCGAGCTTAAAATGCCTGTGGGCACCAGCATGGTCTTTCCCTTAGTGCTGGACTGTGTGGGGTGAAGCCTGGAGGGGCTGTGGCGTGGGGCAGACGCATCCAAGGATGATGGTGGTCCAGAGAGGCACCTGCCCCGAGCAACACTAGGCTCCCAGGTGGATGGCATGCCTGGGCTTCCTTCTCGCCCACACCCCAGCGTGCTGGGATGGGATGCTGGCCCCCCCTTGGAGCTGGGACATGCCTGCAGCCCCCATCTGCAATCAGTGGCCGAAAGTTGCCCTGGGGCCCTACTACGGACATCACAAAGGTTAGTTTAGAGAAGAAGAAAGATGCCAAGTTATGGTCCTGAACCTCTACTTCACCTGCAGGCTTCCTCCTGAGTTAAATTATTTTTCCTTCTCTTTTATTAACACCACTGTGGGTGTTTGGGGAGCACACTGTCTCTCAGGCATTCTGTTTAACGGCAGATACATGCTGGCAGCTGAAAGAAAGGTGGTTTAGTGTCCACAATTATGATCCATGAACTGCTTGTTTGCCAGGAAGATCCTAAGTGTGTGCTTCACACACCAAAGCTGGGAGTGGGCTGTGCACCCAGTGCAGAAATTACCTTTTTGTGCAAAGGAATCCAGCTGCCACTCTTACAGATAGGGGAGGAAAGGCAGGAACCAGACTGAAAACCAATATTCTTTTTCCTCTGGACTAGGACATTTGCAGCAACCTGAATGTTTCTGATAGGTCAAGGGATTTCTGTAGCACTGAGTGAGTACAGCCCAGGAGGCCTGGCATTTGCATGTACATTTGCATTTACTTTTGCATGGCAAGGCTGTATGTGATGGAAGGCAACTCCAGAATTGGAGCTTTTACAGTGGCTGTTACACTCTGAGCATCTCCCTTCCTACATAATTTCAATGCAGGTGTCCCTGACACCATTCCCACTGGCTCTGCTAAAATAAATAGCATTTTAAAAAAAAAACAAACTAGATAAAATAAAAACTAACAAAATAGCATTTTGCCCCAAACCAGGCAGAGGATGTGGATGTAGGGAAGGCTTCTGTTCCCTGACTCTCCCACTGCTGGAGGGGGGGCGGGGGGGAGCAATTAATAGCCCCCCTGGAGGCAGCATGGGCTGGTCAGCCTGGGCTAGTCAGGGCTAGTGCTGGCCTGGGCTCTCCTCCTTTCTGCCTGGGAGTGGGATGGAGGAAGAGGCAGTGGCTTTTGGGGCTTTTATATCTCCGTCGCCAGCAGCACTGTGGTACAGCGGAGAACGCAAGCTGTGAAATAGCTGAGGGCAGTGATCATACAGGGGGTTAAAACTCTCCCATCCTGTTCCAACTTGCTCACCCTGGGGTCTGATAGCCACTGGCTTGCTAGGTGGAGAGCTGTAGTGTGGTTCAGCATGACCTGCAGAGATTTGGGTGCTTCCCTGTTGAAGTGGGGATGCAGGAGAGATGATGCAGGTCCCGCAGTGATGGAGGCGGTGATGAGCAGTGCCATTTCCAGAGCAGCTGGGTGCTCAGGTGGATTTCTGAGCTGGCAGCCCCAAAAGGGGACTCTCCTTCCACCAAAGATTAACAGAAGTACAGTGAGACAGGATTTGAGGACACTTTCAGCACTCTGCTGACCACCATGTACTAAATTTGGTGAACCCAGGTTGCTCTGCCAAAGCAGATGGGCCTGGAGATGGCTGGGTGGGAGCTCAGCAGTTTTACCAGCTAACCCACAATCTGCATCGCTGTGGACCCCAGGATGCAGGCTGGACATATATAATATTCCTGTTCATCATGTCAGGCTGTATTCAACAGCTCTGTAGGCATCAGTGGAATAACACCAGTTTTACACACCGGGGCTTGAGCCACGGAGTCTGTGATTAATGCTGCATTGCCTAAATCTCCTTCCACCTCCCTGGGAGCCAGCATTTCTCTGCAGCAAGGTCAGCACAAGGGGGTTCTCTGCTACACAGAACAGAGACGGGGTTTCCCTGCAGTGTCGATAATGAGGACAGCTGGAGCTCTGCTCGCAGGCGGGTCTGCGAGGGTGCCTGTTAGGCTAGAGCTCTGATGGAAGGAGCAGGGCTGTAATAAAGCACCACAGGAAGCCATGCAAAGCAGCCACATTTTTCATTGTTTCTGTTCGCTAGCTTGTAATTGAGATGTTCTTTCTTTCAAAGTCATGTGCTTTGCAACCAGTGTGTACCAATGAATTTGATACATGTATTGACTTCGGTGCAGTTACTCTTGATTTACACCGGCAGAAGTGCGAGGAGAAGCCGGCATCCTGTCCAGTCACGTTAATCCACTTACGCCATACAGGAGTCACCTTTTAACTTTTCCCCAAAGCACATGTCCCTAAGCCATTATTCACCTGTGCCCACAGCAAGCTGCCAGATGCTAACAGCCGCGTACAGGCCAGGTGGGATTTGTCGATATGTGCATATATCACTTACAACATGTCTAAGGAGTACGCATTCACCGGGCTGTAGCCAGCACCAGCCCCTGCAATGAGCCTTGCTGGCTGTGCATCACTCTCCCTGCACTCTGCCTGCCCTGCCTCTTGCACCAACACCCAAAGATCCCACACGGGGCGGGGAGGGTCCGTCTCCGGCCCTCTCCCAACATCAGTGGCTTCACTGTCTTGTCTTGGCATAACGGGACATACCCCATGGCTCTTTCTCAGCTGTGGGGGGAATTTCTGGCTCACAAGAGCAATTTGTGGGGAGCAGGACTTCGTCTGGGAAGTGCCCAGCTTCAGGTCTGCATTATAGCAAATCCTGAGATGTGACCTGTCCCCACAGCACCTGGGTTCAAAGCAACTCTGGACCAGCACCCCAGAATTTTCCATGAGTGTGGTAGTGCAGTTTGAACCAAAATGATGGCAAGATCTGGATGACCTCTCCAGAAAATGCTATGAAGTGTGCCAGGGGCTACATGGCTGGGAAGCCAACAGAGATCCTGTGAAGTCCCTCCATTCACACCCTCTGCGTTCAGCTTTTGGTAGTCCTCGCATGCTGAGCTAATGGAGGCTTGGATGTAAGCATGGGAAAGGGACCTTTCTGGAACACCTACGTACTGTTGACATGCATCTATGCACTCTTAGACTGTTATTTTTCAGCGGAAAGCATGTTTGCTATAAAAATTCTTGCCAGTCTGATGGTGGGCACAGAAATTGAAGTAGTTTCTCTTCTGTGGGAAGCATCAAACTTGATAAGCATCTTCTTCATTCTCTTTTCAGTCAATCCTTTCCTTGCTCTTTCTGTCCTGAACCTTGGGTTTTGGTTATTTTGTGCTGTTAGACAATTGCTGTGCTCCACACAGAGTAGGGCTGCATGTCGCTGCATGAAATCTTTCTTTGTGCGAGGACTCCTGTGGTCACCCTGTATCCTTGTCCTCACCGCGGGGAAGAATAAGGTCCCCAGCCTTGCTCCTCTCCCCATGGCCAAGTCAAATTCGTGTGCGTGGATACCATATGGTGTCCCCTACCATTGTCCACAGGAGAACAGAACCTCTTCTCGTGCCAGTGGTTGGAGGGGAGGGCCCCATATGGAGCAGAAGCACAGCAGGAGGTAGGGGTACCCTATGCTACATCAGTGCCTCTATATATAGGAAGGTGGGCTCTTCCTATCTACAGACACTTGAAAAGCTGGTGTGAGAAGTGTGATAGCAATGCACTGTAAGAGTGGGACTAGTAGGCAACACACTAGGCTGGGAGCTGGGTTTTGTCAGAGACTTTCCCATTGATCGTGTCGCAAGTCACTCTTCCCTGCTGCACCTTTATTTGAGCATCTGTCCAAGGAGGGCAATAATTCTTGCCACCATGTGCAAAGCTCTTCTAAAACAGCTAGGGAAAAAAAGAATAACATGATAGAAACCCACATATTATTACCATCAATATTTTCTGTTCCAAGCACCAAATAAACAGCAGCATAGAAATTTCAAGCCCTGAGAGGGCAAGAAAAATGTTATCTTTCCCCTTTCTAGTAGCATGGCTTGTTTAATCTTGTCTTGTTGCATGCTATGAGGAACAGTGCTCCTGGCTTCTCAGCACACTCAGAATAAATGGCTTTTATGGCTATCAATAGCTTCGGCTCTCTTCAGCATTTAATTACCTGCAAAGGCCATTTATTGCCTCATATATTCCTCTACCATGAACATCATCCTTTAAACAATAAATAAAATATTAAGGTCACTTTTAAAGAGAGAGCAGAGGAACTGCACAAGCCATCCAACCACAGCAAAGTCTAATATAAAAAGTTTGTCTGGTCTTTGGGGCATGTGAATTGATGGCAGAGCAGAGAAAGAGTGGGATGGCTGCAGGCATTTCTTCCTTCCATACGTGCGTGGGTCTGTGTACCCATCAGTAGGCTGGGTGCCAAGGATGTCTCCAGACCCAACCCCACCGGCCCCAGGGCAGGGCATCCCACCGAG